CAGGTCCTGTGGTGACAGAATGGATTGTGAACACCACCTCATTCCACCCCACAGGGCTTTGAGTTGCATGTTTGACCAGAGAAGGTTTAGGCACTTCAATGTAAAGTAGACAACACTGGTGTTTCATAAGATATTTTCCTTTCCTCTAAAAAAATTTTTGGGGGCCGGGTGTGGTGGCGCACGCCTTTAATCCCAGCACTCAGGAGGCAGAGGTGGGTGAGCAAGCCAGGGGAGCAAGCCAGTGAGCAGCTCCTCCATGGTCTCTGCTTTAGTTCCTGCCTCCAGGTTCCTGCTCTGAATTTCGTCAGTGATAGACCGTGATTGAGACATGGAAACCAGTGTTTCCTCACAGCAGTAGAAAGCTGACTAGGACAGACAGTGAGCACTCTTAACTGAGCCATCTCTCCAGCTCCCCCACCTTGTTTTTGAGACAGGGTCTCTCATGCTATTTCTGCTGTGCCGCATATTCCAGGCCATCAATGTGGGCTCTAGAGATTGAACTCAGTCTTCAGGGTTATATGGCGGATACCTCCATATGCTGAGCCATCTCAGTGGCCCCAAGGATTCTCCTGTTCCCAGTACTGGGAATCCAACCTCCTCACAGCAAGCACTTTACCGACTAAGCTATCTCTCCAGCTCATATAGTTTGTTCTCTGGGGATAGGGTCTCATTCTGTAGGTCAGGCTGGCCTTGAACTGACAGCATGCTAGTGTCTGAGAGACTGAGGCAGGTTTACTGTTAGTGCTTCATCTTCTTAGACATCATTGTGCTGGATAGCTTTAGTGTCAACTTGACACACCTGGGTTGAAGGAGCCTCAACTGGGGAATTGCCTTCATTGAACTGGCCCGTGGCCATGTCCATGGGGACCTTATTGATTGTTGAGTGATGTGGGAGGGCCCAGCCCACTGTGGGTAGTGCCACCCCTGGGCAGGTGGGCCTGTGTTGCATAAGAAAGCAGGCTGAGCAGGGGCCAGGGGAGCAAGCCAGTAAGCAGCGTTCCTCCATGGCCTGTGCTCCAGCTCTTGCCTCCAGGTTCCTGCCCTGAGTTCCTACCTTGGGCTCCCTGATGAACTGTGACCTGGGAAATGTAAGTCGAATAAACCCTTTCCTCCAAGTTGGTAGTAGTCAGTGTGTTTTGTCACAGCAATGGAGAAACAAACTAGGACATCATTTCTCCAAACTCCCCCAATCGCTGGCAACCAGCGTTCTATGCCTAGTTTATGCGGTGCTAGGAATCAAACTCAGGACTGAGTCCATGCTAGGCAAGTACTCTACCCACTGAGCCACATCCCCAGCCTCTAGTGGCATGCTTCCAAGGGTCACTGATGTTGCTGGTTTATCAGTGTTGTGTTCATTCTGTGGCCAAGTGGCGTTCTGGCTTTTGTCTATGCTTTTCTCATAGTCTGATCCCCAGATAAGGGATGTTTGGGCTCTTCCTGAATTTTTGTCTATTGTGAACATAGCAGCTGTGAACATCCTGTATAGATTTTTGTGTGGCCATGTCTGGCTTGTCTTTGACGAAAGGAATGGATGGGTTTCATGGTATGGTATTTATTTTTATTTATTTATTTATTTATTTATTGCTAGCTCAGGAGCACCTTCAAAGCCACAGGGCCACAGTTAAACTTTCTGTTGTTCCCTGTGTTCCAGGAAGAAATTAACTAGGGGCACCACCCATGGTGGACTATCTTGCAACACCAGCACTCAGGCTGAGACAGGACTTTCCCAAGTTTTAAGCCAGCCTGGGCTACATAATGAGTTCCAGACCAGCAAGGGCTGAGTGAGGCCTTATCTCAAGAAACCAAAACAGCCAGGTGTGGTGGCTCAGGCCTTTAGTCCCAGCACTTGGGAGGAAGAGGCAGGTGGATCTTTGTGAGTTCAAGGCCAGCCTGGTCTACATAGTGAGTTCCAGGACAGCTGGGGCTAAAGAGAGACCCTGTCTCAAAAAGACAAAAAAAAAAAAAAAAATTAACTTGTTTCTTTACTTTGAGAAAAGGTCTTTGTAGCCCAGGCTGGCCTGGAACTTGAAACCCCTCCCGCCTCACTGTTGCCGAGTGTTAGGATTACAGGCATGAACCACCATGCCTGGCTATCCTTTGAGGTCTTACAGGCAATGGGAGGGACAGCCAGTCACAGCATCCTGTTTGCCAAGATCAATGCCTGTAACACATAGTTCCCGTCTGTTGCCAGCCTCGTGATTACTGCGGATCTGGGATGCTGTAAGAGTTTACAAGGACTGGAAGCTAGCTCAGATGGTAGAGCACCTGCCACACATGTGCAAAGCCCTGGGTTCGACCCTTAGCACTGTATAAACCAGGCATGGTGGTGTATACCTATAATCACAGAACTTGGGAAGTGGAGGCGGGAGGACCAGGAGTTCAAGGTCATTCCCAGGCTCAGAGTGGGCCCCTGACATTTCCTGGGCTACAGGAAACCTTGTCTGAAAAATCAAGGGCAGACTTGTTGGCACAAACCTTTTTTTAAAAGAATATTTTGATGGGGCTGGAGAGATGGTTCAGTGGTTAAGGCCCTGGCTGCTCTTGCAGAGGACCCCAGTTCAGTTCCCAGCACCCACATGGCAGCTCCCAACCATCCATAATTCTAGTGCCATGGGATCCAATACCCTCTTCTCACCTCCGTAGGCATTGCATGACATAGGTGCACTTACCTACATGCAGGCCACGCACTCATACACATAAAATAAAAATAATAAATAAGATCTTTTTTTTTTTGGTCTTTTTGGGACAGGGTCTCTCTGTAGCCCCAGCTGGTCTGGAACTCAGTATTGTAGACCAGGCTGGTCTTGAACTCACAGAGCTCCACCTGCCTCTGCCTCCCGAATGCTGGGATCAAAGGCATGCACCACCATGCCCAGCAAGATCTTTTTAAAAAATTATTTTGATTTATTCATTTTTATTTTTACTTTTGGTCTTTTTGGTCTTTTGGGGACAGGGTCTCTCTGTAGTCCCAACTGGCCTGGATCTCACTTTGTAGACCAGGCTGGGCTTAAACTCACAGAGCTCCACCTGTCTCTGCTGGGCTTAAAGGCGTGTACCATCACGCCCCACTTGGTCTTTTTGTGACAGGGTCTCCCTGTGGCCTGGAACTTGCCATGTTGACCAGGCTGGCCTCGAACTCACAGAGATCCACCTGCCTCTACCTCCTGAGTGCTGGGATTAAAGGTGTGCGCCACCACACCCGGTCACGTGTCACGTGTGATTTTTTTTTTTTTTTCTCATCCACTTAGTGTTTTGTAACAAATAGCTATAGAGGAGACTGGGAGGCCACAGACTCTCAGAGGCAATGAGGGAAGCCAGGAAGGGAGAGGTGGTGCTTCTAGTGTGTGGGGTGTGGGTTTGAGGGTCGGAGGTTGTCAGTCTAGGGAGACAGCAGGAACACGTGTGGGAGGAGGAGGGGGAACATAACATACCATAGATCCCCTCTTAATCCTGTGTGTATGTGTGTGTGTGCGTGTGTGTGTGTGTGTGTGTGCATGCCTATGTGGGGAACCTGTGGAGGCTAGAAGGGGCATTAGATCCCCTGGAGCTTGACTTATAGGCAGTTGTGAGCTACCTGACTTGGGTGCTGGGAGTGAAACTCCAATCCTCTGCAAGAGCAACAAGTGCTTTTAACCCCTGAACCATCTTTCCAGCCCCCCACAGATCCCCTATTATTAAATGGGGGGGGGACACCTGCAGAGGCCAGAAGAAAGAATGGATCCTCTGGAGCTGGAGTTGCAGGTGGTTGTGAGCTGCCCAACATAGGTGCTGGGAATAGATTCAGGTCTTTTGTAAGAGCAGCAAGCACTCTTAACCCCTGAGCCATCTCTCCAGCTCCAACCCCTCTTAATTTTTGTGCTGGGGGTCCAACCCAAGGTCTCTTGTATGCTAGGCTGAGCTGTAGCCTATAGATTTCCAAGAACATTTTTTTTTTTGTGTGTGTGTGTGTGTGTGTGTGTGTGGTGCGGCAGGGCAAACTATTCGGGAAAGGTGGTGCTTAGCGGGTGACAACATCAATGACAGAGGCCTTTTATCTAGGTGGTTGAGGCCAGTTTAACTTCAGACATGGTCTCTGAGGATGAGGACCCAGCCAAGGCTGGTACAGTGTGTAGGTTGCTAGTGGAGTCTTGTTTTTATTGTTTTAAAACATTTTATTTACCATTTTTATTTTATGTGTATGAGTTTATTATGTGCATATATGTAAGTGCACCCGTGTCATGTAGTGGCCACAGAGGCCAGAAGGCGGCATCAGATCCCCTGGAACTGGCATTATAGATGGTTGTTAGCTACCATGTAGGTGCTGGGAATCGGTCTACATAACCTCTGAGACATCTCTCCAGCCCTGCTAGTGGGGTCTTTATATAATGTGTATGTGAGTATATATATATATTTTATTGTGTACGTGTGAGGTGTGTGTATGTGCACTACTGTGTGTGTGAAATTAAAATGATGACTTTGTGGAATTGGTTCTCGTCTACCTTTGTGTGGGATTGAACTTGTCTTCAGTCTTACTGGGAAAGCACTTAACCAGTTGAACCATCTTGCCAGCCCCTCATGGAGTCTTTATAGCAGTCTCCAAAACCTGAGGTGCTCCACTGGGTGTCCGGGCAGAGGTCCTGCCTGAGGATCAGGGTGTGTGATTCCTGGGGACTCATTTGTGGATGCTTTGGGTGTCTGCCTGCCAGCTTCCAGGGACTGACTTCGAGAAGATTCATCTGTGCAGTGCAGGCCAATAAATGGCCATCAGCGTCCTTTGCCAGGCTGGCCAGGGGATGGGTTCTGTGGGATGGGCAAGGGACACAGAGGATGGTTGTAACATGGGTCTGCAACATCATCCCAGGCCCCTAAGCAGAGGCTGCCATGACCTGTATGGTGCTGGACGGGGGAGAGGTGTGGATCGTGGGACAGAGTGGGATCTGTTCATTACAGGTGTGGTGGGGGGAGGATTTCCCTGGTGTCTGGTGACATTCCTCTAAGTGCCCTCTCCCCTGCTGTTCCAGGCCCCCGCTCAAGATGGCAGAAGCTCACCAGGCTGTGGCCTTCCAGTTCACCGTCACCCCTGATGGGATCGACCTCCGCCTGAGCCACGAAGCCCTCAAACAGATCTGCCTGTCGGGACTTCATTCCTGGAAAAAGAAATTCATCCGATTCAAGGTTTGGGACGTCTGTGCAGCACTCCGTCAGTGCTGATGCCCAGGAGCAGCTGCTCCCCACTGAGGGTGTGCTGTCGAGGGTCACTCGAATATGAGCAGTTTCCATGTTAGCCAAGGCTGGGGCACCTGCCTGGAGGAACTAGCTCACCCATCTCTTTGTCGTTGGGGATTTTTTGTTTTGAGACTGGGTCTCACTCTATATAGCTCAGACTGGCCTCAAACTCACTGTTTTCCTGCCTTAAACTCTTGATGCTGAGAAGAAAGGGAGGGACTGAGGGAGGGAGTGAGGGAGGCAATGTAGACTGGAGACATGTCTTAGCTCTTAAGAGCACTTACTGACCCAAATTCTGCTCCCAGAATTCACATCAAAAAGCTCACAACCACCTGTAACTCCCAACTCTAGGGAATCCAGCACCACCTTCTGGCGGTCATTGGCACTGCCTTGTGTGCACACCTGTCCCCCAAGATACATATGCATATATGTAATTTTTTTTTTTTTTTGGTCTTTTTTGAGACAGGGTCTCCCTGTAGCCCCAGCTGTCCTGGAACTTACTATGTAGATCAGGCTGGCCTTGAACTCACAAAGATCTGCCTGCCTCTGCCTCCCTAGTGCTGGGATTAAAGGCATGTGCCACCATGCCCAGCTAATTTAAAAAACTTTTTAAAGGGTCTTAATGTAGCTCAGACTGGCCTTGAACTCTCTGTGTATCAGAGGACAGCCTTAACACCTAGTTCTGCCTCCACCTTCCTGGTGCTGGGATAACAAGGTGCGCCATCACACCTGGTTTATTAGTGCTGTGTTTGGACCCCAGGGCTTTGCCTAGGTAAGTGCTCTGTCACAGAGCTGTGCCCTCTGTCCAGTTTTTGTTTATTTTTTAAAAACCCTGCAAGGAGGGGATGCAAGACGGCTCAGCAGTTAAGAGCATTGGCTGCTCTTCCAGAGGACCCAGGTTTGGTTCCCAGCACCTACATGGTGGCCAATGCTGTCTTCTGACCTCCACAGGTGCATATATATATATATATATATATATATATATATATATATATATATATATATATATATATATATATATATATATATATATATATATATATATATATATATATATATATATATATATATATATATATATATATATATATATATATATATATATATATATATATATATATATATATATATATATATATATATATATATATATATATATATATATATATATATATATATATATATATATATATATATATATATATATATATATATGGAGATATGGAGAGAGAGGGGGAGGGAGGGAGGGAGAGAGAGACAGGAAGAACATTCACGTAAAGTAAAAATAAATACATTAATTTTTTTTAAATCCTGGAAGGGATAAATGCAGGTTTGGAGAAGTTCTAAGCAGTCCCTGGTCATGAGGGCCATGCCACCAGCCTGCTGTGCACCATACAAATGAAGGTGCTGGCAGAGGACTATGGACTGTAAAGTTCCCCTGGAAATGGAGTTAAGGACAATTGTTAGTCTCCATGTGGGTTCTGGGAACCAATCTGGGTCCTCTGGAAGAGCAGCCAGTGCTCTTAACCGCTGAGCCATCTCTCCAATCCCAAATCTTTTGTTTTTAATTTTGTGACACAGGGTTTCATGTAGCCCAAGCTAGCCTCAAATTCACTATGTAGCTGAAGATGGCTTCAAACTCCTGATCCTCCTGCCCCCACTTCCTCACTGCTAGGATGAGGATACCACACTGGCTTGGGGATTTTTTTTTTAATGTGTATGCATGTGTTGCCTGCATGTAGGTAAGTGCACCGGTGTCCTGTAATGCCTGTGGAGGTCAGAAGAAGAGGCAGTCGGATCCCCAGGGACTAGAGTTACAGACAGTTGTTAGCTGCCATGTGGGTGCTGGGATTCAAATCCAGGTCTTCTGTAAGAACAACCTGTGTTCCCAACCACTGAGCCATCTCTCCAGCCCCAAGGGGATTTTTTTAATTGAAGGTTTTCTTTCTCGTTTGTTATATGTATATGTTATGTGGTGTGCATGTTCACCTGTGTGTGGACAAATGTGTGTAGGGGTGCATGTACATATGTGTGTGCATGTGCATGTGTGTGTCTGTTCTAGAAATCCAAACTCCAGTCCTTGGCAATGCTTCTGTGGCAAGCACTTTATTATTATATCATTTTCTGAGATAGAGTGTCACCCTGTGAGCCATGTTTCAAGGCCAGACTGGGCTACAGGGAGAACCTGCCTCAAAAAAAAAAACAAAAAAAAAGAGTGTTGTCCTGAGATTTTTATATTATTTTCATTTATATGTGTGCATGTGCACATCCATTGGGTGTCCATGGAGACCAGAAGAGGGTGTTGGATCCCCTGGAGCAGGAGTTACAGGTGGTTGTGCTGGGAACCAAACTCGGGTCCCCAGCAGCAAATTCTCTTAACTGCTGAGCCATCTCTCCAGCCCTGTAAACTCATCTTGACTTCAGAGCAGTGCAGGTCTTAGGGACCTGGGGTTCTGGACGCTCCAGAAAGTGGCAGGACAGTGGGACCTCAAGGTGTCCTTCAGCAGCTGGTGTCATGAGCCAGTCTGGGTAGAGCCTGGGGACCTATATAGTTAAGTCAGCTTGGGTGTTTCTACTGTCCTGGGGGTCCGTCTTGGAGGCTATCCCAGGGTTGAGTGGGTTCAGAAGTCAGGAAGGAAGAAACTGGATGAATTTAGAGCAGCAGCAGCAGTGACCTCCAGTCCCAGCTAGTGGGCATGTGGTTCCAGTTGCCCCCATCTCCCTACTACCCAATGTCCCAGCTTCATGTCATCACCGGGCCACTGCCGTGATGGTTGTCATAGGACTGTGCTGCTCACGGCCCACTTGTCTTTCCAGAATGGCATCATCACTGGTGTGTTCCCGGCGAGTCCCTCTAGCTGGCTCATTGTGGTAGTGGGCGTGATGTCATCCATGCACGCCAAAGTGGACCCCTCCCTGGGGATGATTGCGAGGATCAGTAGGACCCTGGACACCACGTGAGTAACGCTCCACACCTCCCTAGGAAGTAGCCTGTTCCCCCTGCTCCGGATTCCACACGAGGCTCTTGCTGTCCTTCCCACATACACTCTCTCCCCTTGACATGGCATTGAAGGGCCCCTGGTAATCTGTGGACCATGTCACCCTTCCACTGGAGATTAGCCTAAGAAGAATGGCTTCTAGAATGCCTTCTAGAAGATGTGTGAGGCCCCGCAATGACAGTGCACAGTATCTACGGTGGCCTCAGAGGGCATCTCTGCCCGGGGAACTGGCTGTACCAGTGTGGTTGTTGCGTGCTTTTCACTGGGGTCACTCCACCTAGCCCTGAACTGACTGCTGTGGGGTGCTTGGGAACACCTCAGCCTTTGGCCCCTTCAGAGTAGCTTAAAGTCCCCCAGAGAGCTCTGTCCCTTTTGCACTTCAAGTTTTAAGTGATTCTGGGAATGTCAAAGCAGCTTGTCTTTCTGTTCAGGGATAAAGCCTGGCTAGCTTCTGGCTTGATATTTATTTATTATGTGTGTGAGTGTTGCCTGCATGAAGTGTGCACCACATGTATGAAGTGTCCTCAGAGACCAGAATTTGTTAGATTCCCTAGAATTGGAGTTACTGGTAGTTGTGAGTCACCATGTGTGAACCTAAACCCGTAAGAGTAGCAACTGCTCTTAACTGCTGAGCCATCTCTCCAGCCCAACTCTGGGCTGTTCTAATCTCACTTTCCTGATTGTTCAGATGGAGATACTGTTTCATCAGAAAGCAACCTGGCAAAAGTCTTCAGGGAAGATTCTGCATACTTCTTTACTTTTCCTCTATGTGTGTGTGTGTGTGTGTGTGTGTGTGTGTGTGGTGTTGGGGGTGCGGCGGTCCTGGGCCTTGTGCCTGCTAGGCTAGTTCTCAGTACTGAGCCATACCCCAGCTTACCTATGAAGCCATCTAGGATGTTCGGGTCAGACCTACCACTACAGCCACCAGTGGAGTCTCATTGGTACCGATGAGGAGAGATTTAGGCAGCAGCAGGTACCTGGCCGGGGTCACAGGAAGGACCAGGAAGACCCGAATTCAAGCCTGGTGCTTCCAACTCCTGAATACAGGCTTTCTTCAGTGGCTCCCTGAGCTTCCTTCCTCTCTCTAGAACCTTCTAATAGCCTAAAGCAGAGCACCACCACTGTGGAGGGGCTGGGCACAGGACACCAGGCACCTCGGTTACCTTGTGTGCAGTGACTGCTGTGTTTGAACACATACTTGTTTTGTTCTAATATTTTACTTATTAATTTATTTTATGTCTATGAGTGTATTGCCTGCATGTAGGTAGGGGCACCTGTGTTGTGCACTGTCCATAGAGGTCAGAAGAGGGCATTGAATCCCCTGGAACATGGTTGCTAGCCACCATGTGGGTGCTGGGAATTGAACCTGGGTCCTCTGCGAGAGCAGTCAGTGCTCTTAATCACTAAGCATTCTCTCCAGCCCCAATTCTGCACTATTTGAGTGAAAGTTCCTTTCAGAAATAGCAATTCCCTGAGGGTTCTAGGGCTCCCCAACCCCCACAGCCCTATTCCCTAACCTTCCTCCTACACTTCTGTTCGTGTCAAAGGACAATTCTTATCTCAAAGGGGATGAAAGATCATTTATTCTGGAGCTAAATATGAGTGACCATGGCCCCAGAATGCCAATCCATGTCACCCCAGATTCCATGTGTTAGTGTGGAGGCAGTTTCATGAAGTTTTGATAGTAACAGAACAAAGAAAAGTCCTAAAGCAAGACGCTTTTCAAACACATTAGTGGAAACATTGCGGAGGCAGATACAGCAAAAAGAGGAATCTCAGCTGGAGACCTCAGGTGCTATCCTGATGGTGTTAAGCAGCCTTTTGTTTTTTGGGAGCTGGAGCTTTGTTAAATTAATATATTCCTAAAGGTTTTTTTTTTTTTTTTTTTTTTTTAAATAATGAATATGGGGCTGGAGAAACTGTTCAGTGGTTAAGAGCACTTAATTACTCTTTCAGAGGACCCAGATTTGGTTCTTAGTACCCACAAGGCAACTAGTTCCATTTTATTTATTTATTTACTTGAGACAAAGTCTCACTATGTATTCCTGGCTAGTTTGGAACTCATTATGAAGACCTGGCTGGGTTGAATGCAGAGAGATCTGCCTACCTCTGCTTCCTGATTGCTGGGATTAAAGGCATGCACCCCCATGCCTGGCCCTAAAGTGTTATTTTAAAAAATAAAAATGGAGCTGGACAGATGGTTCAGAGGTTAAGAGCACTAGCTGCTCTTGAGGAAAATCTGGGTTTGACTTCCAGCACCCACATGGCAGCTAAGAACTGTAACTCCAGTTCCTGGGGATCTGACACCAACTTCTGGCCTCTGTGGGCATTGCACGACACAGGTGCACTTACATACATGCAGGCAAACCACTCATACACATTAAAAAAAAAAGCAAAGTATATTATATATATAAA